TATTAGGAAAATATTTCCTACTAATTGGCTTCAATGATAAACAGGATGATAAAGAAGCAAATTCTCATTTTCACTTCTGATTATTCGGATACCCATGTCAAGTAGCCCAATTTATCTTACCTAATTATTTCAGTGATAACTAGCTCCAGTATTCCAACTATCACCCAACAAAAACCTACGATATTTGTTCTGTGCTTTATTTAAGAAAATATGAAGGTACGCCCGGAGCACTCATGTAAATGCAAAGAAAGCCATCAACTCAAGCAATTTGTCTACCAAATAAAGGGAAGTAGAATAAACAGCAATATCAGAAGAACCGATTTCAGAATTACTTACTTTCTCTTTCGTTTTCGGTTACTGGAACCGCCAGTTGAATCGAACAACGATGCATCAAGGGTAGCTGGGTTTCTTGAAGCAAGGAAAGCACAAATAAGAAGGTATTTGGCACAAGCAGACATATGAAAGTCTATCTCATCAGAAGATTCACAAACTCCATTTTTCTTGGCAATGCCTTTCCATTTGTTCTTCTTAGCTGAGGCTTCAGAAGACAGCCTGCTTCCAACTTTGAACGTGTCATTCAGGGATGGCCCGATATGTGGTTGAAGATGAGAAAATAGTTTTCTTTTCATATCTTCATTTGGAACAGTGCCTAAATCATCCAGAGGTTCACAATATATCTGATATAATGATGAGAAGGCAGTCGATAATTCATCAACTCGTCTAGTAACTCGACAAAATGGCCTCAACACCACACTGTATTAAAATAAGAAAAGAATGTGTGTCAAATAGAATTCGTAATAAAGACACCAAAATGATGGAAATTAAATTGAAAAATTCAGACTTACTCAAGAAATGAAGAATATAGCTTTGGGCTTCCCTGGTCTTTCATTAAGATTTGACGAAGTTCATCCTCGGTGTAATCAGGAAAATAAACAGGAATAGGTTCTACATAACCAGTGTCCGAGTCATAAGTGTCAGGTGAGGCATTACTGAGAAAAATCAAACCCACTTCAGGCATTTTCAGTATATCATAGAGCTTAAAAAGAAGCGGTAATATATTGGAACTCTTGTCCCATCCGCGAGCAAGCTCCAAGTTATCAAACACCAAGTAAACCATCTTCCCCCCAGCCCATCCCACTGACTTCTTTGAGCTTGATTTCGCCATGCTCCCCTTCAAACTATCTACCACACTACGAAGAGCCCCCTGCAAAAGATTTACAAAATCAGAGGGCTTTTCGCAGCGGCTAGCACTCGAATAGCCATTGCTTTCATTCCGTCTATGAAGCGATAACTGGTTCAACACAGATTCAAATAGTATCCTTGGGCTATAACATGTTATACAGCTACAGTAAACAAACGGACGTTTCAAGTGCTTAAATATCTGAAGAATTGTACTTGTTTTCCCAGTTGAAGCACCCCCATATACAAAAAATGGTAACACTGGAGAATCCAAGGGGCCCAAAAGGCGCAACAATTCGATAATTTGTGAGCGCCTGCCTGGTAAACTAGAAATCAAGTCATCTAAACTAATTGACGATTCGTCTCGATAAGCAAGGTCATGTATTGTTAAAGGTTGTTGATTACATGATTTTGACTTGTCTGTCGAAATTTTAGGATTTGGTGTGCTACACAATGATGATCTAGTAGCTCTTCTGGGAGTTTGTGGATTTCCCTCTTCACCCATTTCTTACAATGTGCTCAAAATCCTGGAAAATTCAAAAAATAGCAGTATAAATCATTCAATCACAGCGCCACCAAAACCCTAACATTATCAAATATAGATATTTTAGAAACTGAACACAACTTAATTGCATATAAATCCCACATAAAATGAGTAATGAAAACTGAAGTAAGTAAAAAAGTAAATGCATTTGAGGACGAACCTTGGTTCAGCAGTAAAGTAACAGGCCGGAATTAGCGGGTAGTCGAAGAAACGAAATCGGCCGGAATATTGAGGTGGCCGGTGAAGGGAGAAACGGAGTTGAACGAGAAGTTGAAGAGTCTGTCACATCAGCCCTAGGTTAGGACACCTAACTTTTCCCGCCAAGAAGCCCATAACCTTACAATGTTTGGGGTCAAGGTTTTGTGATAACTTTCAAATATTAAAATTTGATTTTACGTCAGATTAATGTTACCACAGAATATAGTTTTTTTTTTAATTTTTATTGTTTAATGTTTTGTACTCCTTAAGTGGCCAGGGGCGGCTCTAACGGCTTTGGCGGTGAAGCCGTTGCCGTAGTAAAAATGGGAAAAATTTAAAAATAACCATATTTATAACTGGTCACTCAAAAATAGTCACATTTTCAAAAGTAATCAAAATTTAGCCACTTTTCATGTAAAGATAAATTTGAGCGAAAACACTCTTCAAAACCCGAAAAAATACGCATGTATATTATACTGGAATTTCAGCATAAGTATGTTTGAACTCGAGCATATTATACGGGAGTTCCAGGATAACTATGCTGGAACTCCAAGATAACTATGCTAGAACTCTAGCATAATATGTTGGAGTTCCAACATAAGTACACTAGAACTCCAGCATAATATACGAGAGTTCCAGCAAGTATAAATGTCCAGTATAATATACTGGAGTTTGGAGCACCGGTGCTCCAGTCTCCCGTATATTATACAGGAGTCAGCAAAGTATACTGGTCCAGCATAATATGCTGGAGTTCGTACACAGATGCACCGAACTCCCGTATATTATACGGGACCGGTCTCTGTTGCAACAAAATAGTGGCTATTTTTCATTGACTTGGTAAACACTGGCTATTTTTGAATGAACAGTCCAAAAACTAGCTATATCTTGCTATCTTTACTGTCAAAATAGCACGGTATAGCCAGTTTTCAGACTGGTCAATCAAATACGAAGTTAATGAAAAATAACCACTATTTTGCTGCAACAGAGATCGGTCACGTATAATATACAGGAGTTCGGTGCATCTGTTGTGTATGAACTCCAGCATATTATGTTGGGCCGGTATACTTTGCTGGCTCCAGTATAATATACTGGAGACTGGAGCACCGATGCTCCAAACTCCAGTATATTATGTTGGACCGGTATACTTGCTGGAACTCTAGTATATTATGCTAGAATTCTAGTGTACTTATGCTGGAACTCCATCATATTATGCTGGAGTTCCAGCATACTTATCCTGGAACTCCAGTATAATATGCTGGAGTTCAAGTATACTTATGCTGGAACTCTAGCATAATATACTGGTGTATTTTCCGGGTTATGAACAGTGTTTTCGCTCAGATTTATCTTTACTTTAAAAGTGGCTAAATTTCGATTACTTTTGAAACTGTGCTATTTTTGAACGACCAGTTGTAAATCTGGCTATTTTTGAATTTCTCCCGTTGCCTTGGCCCCCAAAATTTGAATGTCCCAAATTTATTTTTAATTATTTGATTGAGGTTATTTTATACTAATAAGTTTATAAATTATGATAATCTTCACTAATTATCCTTTTTATATATGAATTAAGTTATATATGTATGGACAACATATTGAATTTCTTTTACCATATTCTTTGAAACTGCATGAACACAAAAGTATTCATGCATCGATTTCCTTTTAGTTTAATTTGACATATTATATTAGGTAACTTACAATTTATTTTAGATATTCACCAAAGTGCTATTTAATAGAATGAACTAAACTTATCACTTAAATTGATCAGAAGGAGTAAATATTTTTGGCATCGTTAATGCTCAAATTATTATGTTATATATATTTATTTCTTTTTCTTGTTTGTGATGATAGCCAAATCAAAATTTGTGTACCTCTTCCAATTTTTTTTTGAAATTTGCTATTGTTTGTCATGATTAATTTGTTGTTTAGAAAGCAAATTTTGTTGTTAGTGTAAATATTTTATAAAATAAATTTAAAAGCCTCTCAATATGATTTCGCCTTAGGCCACGAGATCCATTGAGCCGCCCCTGGCTGTGGCCTCTTCAGGGGGTTGATGGATTCAAATCTATAACAATGCGATTCAGTTTATGCTTTTTAATCATGGAATAATTATATTCATGCAAGTCAAGGAACTTAACTGAATAATTAACTTGAATTTTATGTATAACTTCTATCTTCACTTTATTTGCTCGTATATTTAGTATACTCTAACAAAATTTGGATAAAATTATACAATCACATAACATAAGAATTAGCACAAAATTCTTCTTCTCGGATCCAAAGTTAATTCTTGATAATCCAATAAACGAATGTTGTATTTATGTAGGAAATATTCTAGATGGCTACTGCCTTTTTTCCTCTGATTTCTTTTGCGTATTTGTTTGCTGATCCTTTTAACTTAGGGGATGTGATGTAGAGACAATAAAGTTAACATTATAAGCTCGAATTCTCATATATATGTAATTAATTACAAATAGGATCTTTTACGCCTAAAAATAGAAAAAGAACTATGCTCTTTCAATTTGAATCAGGTGATCGTTTATAAGACGCCACTTAAGAAGGTTTCGTTTGGTGAGGCGAAAATTCCAATTTAAGATAGGACATCGGAAAAGGAAAGACCAAGTGTTGCAAATTTACGAGGTTTACTGCAATGAATTTTTAATCATAAGAACAGCAGCCGTCCAATGGGCAACTGTTTTTTTTTGGTTTCCCACCCGTTGTTCGGTACCCGTATTGGAGTCCGACTATATCCGGATTCGTGTCGGTTAAGGCCTCATTCAGGTTCGGTACCCGTATTGGAGCCCGATTATATCCGGATTCGCGCCGAGTAAGGCCCCATTCGGGGTTAGCGCTCCCTACCAAGGATTTTTCCATACCCAGGACTCGAACTCGATACCTCTGGTTAAAGGAGGAGCAGTCCTATCCACTGCACCACATCTGTAACCTAACACAAGCAAATATTTCAGAAAAAGGAAGAAAGTTGGAGAGAAAAATGAAAGATGGGAGATGCGAATGCAGCTGTCACTAGTTAAACAGAATAAAGCCGAACATAAAACAGATTCCCCTCGCTTTAACAAATCACTCATGGGACAAATAAAGACTGTAATTGTAAGCAGGAATTCCAGCAAACTTTATACGTAAAATTCAACGATCCATCTGACACCAGATATGTACAAGATGACGTACAATTCTAACCCTTCTCAAAAATTAGATTATGAAAATAATACAGTGAACTCTTCTGAAATCCTCAAAAGAGCAAAACTAGACAGTAGACAACTTAAACCTTTGGAGAACAATTGTATAACATATGAAGTTCTGTAGACTAGTTTTCAGAACGTAGCTAATTCTAAGCTGCACAGTGCCAAGCGTGGGAATCAACATTAAAACAGGGCTGCTGCAACTTCCCGAATATAACCCAACAATCAAGACTCCCAGGTGCATGCTTATAAAGCCCCTATCAAACCATAAAGATATTCGCATAAGGCCCTGGTCAAAAGCAAGTAAATCAGGTACACCGAAAAGCAAAACCTCCCAAGACAAGTACACAGGACTTACCCTCATTCACTCATTTTCGTCATCATCATCTTAAAGTTGAGCTGGTGCACTCCCTCTGATAAAGGTACCACGGCGATCACCCCCAACAATCACATCTTTCAGTCGAGATAGTGGACCAAACATCCTGCCAATCCTCTGTCAACATGGAAATACAGATCAGTGGACCAAGAATGCAACTAAACAGAGTAAAGGTAGGAGTGGAATTAGCATTTCTGAGAGCCAAGATGATTGATCTGACGACAAGAAACATAAGCGGAACTAACAACGTATGTGGATGACTTTCAGATTTTAATATTCTACTATACCACAATAAGTGAAAGGTTTTGTAACCCTGGAAATCCTGGTTTATCACTTAGCTGTTTGTGTGATTGAAGTCTCTCAAATCTGATTATAAAAGCTACTATTGATTAGACCAAAGAAAGCAACAAGTGTAAGCTTTTATCCTCCCAGAACCAACAATGGAGATCTCGAAAGCAGAATCAAACATAGGACAAGGGGCGAAGATTAATAAAAGCCGAAAGACCTTCTGCAGATTCACTGATTCAGGTTCACTTATTCTAGCACAGATGAATTTCCAGACTCAAGACAGAACCATATTCAGAAACAACATACTGCGTGTTGTGTTAAAGTAATTTTGTCATTCCATATAGGGCATTGGAGTTGTGAAACTATTATGAATCTTTGATCCTTTTTTTATTTTTTACTTTTTGGATAACAGTGGTGTCCCGGATAGCTTGCGCACACCTCAACTATTCCACGGAGCATCTACTACCTCTCACCAATACATGCACCAGGTAGCTCTGCCTACCAAGGCTTAGGCAGATGACAAGAAATCACCAAGCAATTTTTGTCTCCGCTGGAATCAACTATAAGAACTGCAAAGTAGTTTACTATGTAGGGGAAAGATCATACTCTTCCAAGCCAGTCAACCAATTTTTTATAGACTGGATCCACCAAGAGAAAAAATTAGCAACTGCATTTTTGCCAAGAGTAGGTCACGAGAGAATATGGTGAGATGCCCTTGTGAAAAGGAGAGAAGGATGTGCTCCATAAAAGCTCTTTTTTTAGATAAAAACAAGAGTTGCCACCTAACTATCCATTTCAAAAGTAGTTCTTTTTACATAACAAATGAAACAAAGACCTATACAGGTATCATCAGAACCAGAAGGGAGAACATTAATTTCAAGATAGGCTGTAGTCGGTGTTATAAATATACACGAATAGACTGGCAAACACATACAGTCCTGTAAATCGCATTCAACATTAACAACTAGTCCCATCTCAGCAAAAGATGGGTGCAAGTATAGGCCAACATATGAGAAAAAGGAGATACGACTGAATGCTTGAGGAGGGAGGAGGGAAGAAATCTAGTAAGCTCATTTGAGAATGTTGACTAAGCTGCAAGCCTAGGTGAAGGCATCTTTATCAGTTGGATCTTACTTAAATCCAGCTATTTTGGGTCAATCTTGTGTTTCTTCTTTTAGTTATCTCAATCAGAATATTTTGTTTGCTAAAAAGTTCCCTGGATTTTTGAACTATCAGACAAATGGCAAGTGTTGCAATTATGCAAGCACTACCCTTCAGAAGGTATTGTAATATGGTAGTTGGTGGGTAAAGTTATTACAAAGTGACCCTAGATGGGTTTTCTGCATTTTCTTCACAAACAATTTCAGATTTCAGACCCAAAGTTGAAATATTCAACTCAACAGGGATAAAAATTTCAATTATTCTTCAATAAACAGCAATAACTCACCTCCCCATGGACAACCTGCCACTTCGTTTGCAACACCTGCCACCTTTCTTGCTGCCACGTCTGCCCAATAATCACAAGGCCCATAACAGCAGCAGCAATGAAAATAGACCAGAATGCATTTGCGTCTTTCGCATGGGCCACAAGGGAAGCAGCCCCTCTTTTCCACCATGCTTGACAAGGAAGGTTAGCTGTATCATCATCATCTTCATCTTTAGACTTTGGCAAATTTGAGATGCCTGAGTCTAAGCCCTGGTAAAAGAGTTCAACTGGTTCTGCATGCACATTGGTTTCCTCTGTTGTTGCTGAGAGATCCATGGGTTCTTCACTCTGGCATGAACTATAGTTAGCAGTACCAAGGAAACTCTGCTCTTTGTCTACCAAACTTAAGCCTTGCAGGGCAGCATCTTCTTCAAATTCTGCACCAATAAATAACAGGTTACCCTTTTTTTCATCAATAAATTGAATACCAGGAGATCCCGGAGTGCTCGCACTTTTAGTTTTTGTACTTCCTTCATAAATATCTGATTTACCCCCTTCATCAGCAACAAGTTCTGGAGCAGCATCTTCACCTCCCTGTTCATTACGGATCTCATTAACATCGGGTTCCAACGGCAAATTCTCATGCTGGCTTGGTGGAAAGACAAAGTGACCAGACATAAACATTGCCTGGGAAGTCTCAGCTACATACTCTGCACTACTATTATTATCATCATCATTCGGGTCAACCTGCTTTGGACCAGGGGCAGCAGCATATGCTGATTGTGTAAGTGATACAACTTCCCACTCATTTCCACGAGGAGCAGTTTCCTCCCCTTCCTCATTGCTAGCCATCTTTCAGAAATTGAAACAAAAGAAGCTAAAAAGAAACAAATAGAAGTCAGAGCTTAAGAGCTAAAAGGAATCACACACTTTGAATAACAAATTTATTCCAAAGGAAGTACAGAAAATAATTAAGAAATAATGAGGGCACATATGATAAATTTAGTAAATTCTTAAGACATATTTCTACAAATTTCTGGTACCAAAAAAATGCGATGAAATTAGAAAGTATGACATCAAATAACTCTTTACAGAGAGGTGGAGCTAGGAATTCTAACAAGGAGATTCAAGAAAGTATAAAAATGCCACATATGGCATTTGAACCTATATTTCTCTTAGGTTAAGGGCAGGGGCGGATCCACCTTATAAATTTGGGTTCCCGTGAACCCATGGTCTTCCGGCAAATTAATTTTTTCATGTATATAATTTACAGAAATGGTCTAATATAATTCTTAGGAACCCATGCACTACAACGATAAGTGGTGCACTGGCTAGATGGTTGTTTTACTTATCCAAGGACAAAGGATCGATTCCTCTTGGACTTTCTCATTCTACAGTTTTCTTTCCTTTTTTTTATCTTTAATTTTTTCTCGTCCTACAGTGTTTTATTCCCCCGAATACCAATTTATGGCAACCTCAATCCCATCTCTCAAGTAATTTTCTATTTACCCTTTTTGCTTCTAAGTTTTTAATTGCTTTAACCTCAAAGAATTTTGAATTGTTAGTATAGTTTCTTAAGGAATATTTTAGTTTATTTTTGTAAGTAATTTACATATAAAGAATTAGTCATATGTTAAGATTTTTGTAATATTTTTTGTGCTTCTTTTTGCACTAAAATTTTCACAAGCTGCAAATTTTACAGTATTAAATTGTCATTAGCATTTTATTTTCCCTCTTTGTTTTGAATTTTGATGGTAAGAACTGAGTTGTTTAAGAAGTGTATAAATTATCTCTTTAAATAATATTTAAAATAGATAATAAGTCATAAAATACTAAAAGTTCTCACATCAATTGACATTATTAATCAAATAATTTTTTGAAGGGGATCCATTTTTTTTAAATCTATAAAGAAATATTACTATGTTTTATCCTGTTCACACATATAACTTTCCAACAAATTGAATTCCCTTTCTTGCATGTGGTTCCACCACTGTTTTCTAAGCTGCGGAACTGAGAAGTCTCATAAACACATGCACTTGCAACATTGAGAACATCAAACCACAAGGTTTTAAACCTATTACATTTTCTAGTCTTATGGAAGTTGCTCGATAACTCTGAAGTCATATTCATTCCAGACGGAACCATAACTCGTACCTTTGGAACATGCAAACTGACAACACAATCAAGAGAGGAACTTGAAGAAAATTTTATCACTTTCCAATTTTCACTAGCAGAGCCCTCTGTCTATATTTTTTAATCTATGGATCAGTAACTTTTGAACAGTGCTTTTCCAAACCCTAACAAATTTCTAATTACGCGAAAAAGCGTATGTATTTTACACAACAGAGATAGAACCATAAGCAACTAAACAACAGCAACAGTCACAGATACTGAATCGTATAAACAGAGAAGAAATACAATATACAAGCTTTCAGCCGACAGCAGAAGCACATATACAGATCCGAAAGCTGAAACCACGCAACTTGTTAATATAGCGAATAAAGCTAAATCAGATTAAGGATTAAGTCACAACGATCAAATAATCCGATCAACAAATCGAGTGGAGAAAAGAAAAAGCGTTAAATCAAAAAACTAAAATCGGAGGTGAAATTCGAGTACTTACAGAATCAAAAGGCGAAGAGAGATGTGAGATCGGTGTAGATAACGTCTGAGCTCCGGCGAGAATGATTGAAAACTGTCTCGACGAACGAGCGAAGAGAGAGAATGGTTTATATAGGGAAGATTTTTGGGTGAAGAGATAAAATACCGGGAATACCGGTAACGCTGTAGTGTTAAATGACTTGCTGAGGATAGCGGTTTTACTTCTACCAACTGTAGCATGCAAACGGTGTCGTTTGGTGGATTCATTGGGCCAGATTCTGTGGGCCCGGGAGTAGTGCATGGGTGGTTCCCGGTTTTTGTGGTTGCTTGTGGGAGTGGAGAAGTGTTGTGACGTGCAGTGGTGTTTGTGTTGAGTTGGGAAAAGGTTACTCACGAACTCTAATCTTTTTTTTCTTAATTTTGCCAAAATTGACAACAAAAAAAAGTTTTTATAATACAAGGTCACGATTAATTCGAATTCATATAGGTAAGACCCATTAAAAAGTTATCGGTTAGGACTTTTTTAATTTACAAGATTTGTACCTAAAATCTCTAATTAAAAACAAAAATATTATGCAATAGTATTCACATTTATCGATATCGAATAATATGTGTAATTTTTAATTTTTTTTTACGTGACTCATAAATTAGACATACCATCTATATAATTTTTAATTTTTTTTTCACCTCAAACGACTGCACATCCTTTTAGGATGTGTTTGAGTGGGTAATCATTAGTGTTTTAAGTACCGTATATAATTATTTTATTACACCATCAAGTTAATTAAGTTACATCAAATCAAATACTTTTCTCTCTCAGCACACGTCAAGTGCTTTAACCTGCGCCTCGTCGGAAAATGGGAGGAAGAGGACGACCAAGGAAAAACACTAGCAAATTCACGGATATCAGCGTTAAGGAACAAGGAAAGCAATCAGGAAAAGCTAAAGAGAAAGTGAACGAAGAAGATGACCCAGATACAGAAAGTGATAGTGAAATGAACTGGCCAGATCTGAGCACCGCTCAGTTGAAATTGGCAACAACGGAGAAGACAGTGACCAGAGTGACACCAATGATGAACTCTGGCGCAAAAAACACACATGCAGGGAAGATCGGAGCTGAAGAGGCAAGTTCGAGCAAAAATCCAAGCAATGGAACAGTAAATTCAAAGGTAACCATGGAACAGAGTAACAAAGCACAAGGAAATGAGAAGGGTATGCAGGAGAAGTAAACGCATGGAGCTGGGGGAAGATCGTGGGCTGGATTGTTTAGTGAGAACAAACTAGTTGCTAAAGGAATGAATCTCTCATATATTCCACCAGTAGTACAAGACGGTGAGGTAGTGGTACAATTGTTGGAAGATGACATAGTGGAGGAGCAACAGAAATGGTGTAGAGCATTAATTTTATATGTTGTGGGAAACACCCCAACAATTGGAGCAGTTGAGCAATGTATAGCTCAACAATAGGGGAAAATCAGGAAGCCGAAGGTATTGTTCCATAGCGATGGCTATTTCATTGTATTGATGCATAATATTAAAGAAAGGGATGATGTTATGATGAATGGACCACACACAATGAATAATAGACCAATTATCATTAGGCAACGAAAGGAGGGGTTTGATTTTGAGGATGAAATCCTCAGAACTATGGGTGAAATTTCCTAAACTACCACTTAGTTACTGGAGTAATAAGGCTCTAAGCAAGATTGGGAGTGGTCTAGGTAAACCTCTATATGCTGATGCATGTACAACTATGACTGATAGAGTTGTATATGCAAGAGTCTTAATTGAGATGGATATTACTAGGCCTTTACCAAGATCAATAAAACTATGTGACCCTACTAGGAAGAAGATTGATCAGATTGTGCAATATGATTGGAAGCCACAATACTACCAAGAATGTTGTCAACTTGGCCACTCATGTAAGGAGCAGCAGAAACAACATAATGAAGAGGGACAACATAGGATAAATAATCAGAAGCCCAAGCAAGAATGGAAAATTGTAAGGAAGCTTGATCCAAAGGTGGATAGGATAGATGGACAAGGAAGGTTCAAAGAGCAACTTGAAATAGAAGAAGAATTAGCACCAAAACAGCAAGATAATGGTAATCAATGGCAGATTGCTAATGGAAGGTCTGCATCAAAAAAACAAATGAGAGCCAAAGGGGGAGAGGAAGTCAACATAGGCAATGCATTTAAAATACTTATTGACACTGCCCAGAGAATAATGTTATTCTCTGAAGAACAAGAGATGAGAAGCAGGAGGAGCAGACAAGGCAGTGAAGATAATCCCAAAACTAAAAATATAGCATGACGAACATTATAACATGGAATGTAAGGGGCATGAATAAGGTGTATAAGCAAAAACTACTAAAAAAATTCTGTAAGGAGAATAATGTAGCAATGATAGCAGTTCTGGAAAATAAGAGTTAAAGAAAGTAAGGTTGATACAATAATGAGGAAAATATTTGGAGACTGGAAGTGGACAACAAATTATGAAGTAGCACAAGGTGGGAGAATCTGGATTGTCTGGGATCAGGCAAGAGTGGAGTTTGAAGTCAAACAAATGCATGATCAATACATAGCAGGGCAGATAACTATAAGGCAATGTAACCGTAACTTTTTGTTTGTTGCAGTATATGGTAAACATAACATCCAAGATAAAAAGAGTATGTGGAATGAGCTCAAGGGGATAATGAATGGAGTAAAGTGGCCAAGTGTTCTAATGGGGGATTTCAATAGTATAATGTCCATTGAAGATAGAGTACAAGGTAACCCAGTACAAGATGTGGAAGTGAAAGACTTTAAATTTTTTGTAGAGGAGGCTGGATTGTCTGAAATGAGAACAATAGGGAGATACTACACATGGACAAATAACACAGTGCACAGTAGAATTGATAGAATCTTAGTCAATGCAGAATGGATACAAAAGTGGCCTCAAATGGAGGGGATCATCAAACAACCTGAATTTTCTGATCACTGCCCATTGATGATAACTATGGCTGAAGATATTGTACAGGTAAAGAGGCCTTTCAAGTTTTTTAACTGTCTAGCTAACCACCAGAAGTTTGAGGAAATAGTGAAGCACTGCTGGAGGAGGGAACATAGGGGCAACAAGATGCAAAAGGTTTGGTACAAGCTTAAAGCAATGAAAGGTGAACTGAAGAAGTTAAACAATCAGGAATACAGGAGTGTGAGGGATAAAATAAAAGAAGCAAAAAACAAACTGACACAGTTACAACAAACTATGCAATCTCCAAAGAATGATAGTGTAGTCATTGATGAAGAAAAGAAGACTAAATGGAGCTGGCTAAATGGATGGAAGTAGAGGAAAACATACTGAAACAAAAGGCTAGAGTCAAGTGGCTAAAAGAGGGGGACTCCAACACAACATATTTTCATGCTTGTGTGAAAAACAGACAGGCAGGGAATCATATTGGAAGACTTACAAATAATGAAGGGCATATACTGCAAAACACAAAGGAGGTTGAAGAGGAAATCCTACAGTTTTATAAAACATTACTAGGTACAGCAGCATCTGCTTTACCAGTAGTGAATCCAGATATAATAAGGAGTGGGAATATGCTGGGTAGGGAACAACAATTGCAGATAATACAGCCAGTCACAAAGGAAGAAGTACCAATAGCTTTGAAGGGTATAGATGATAGCAAGGCACCAGGGTGTGATGAATATAACGCCTATTTTTTCAAGAAGACATGGAGCATAACAGGAGAGGATATCACATCAGCAGTACTGGAATTCTTTGAAAGTATAGATTTGTGCAAAGCCATAAACTGCACTACTATTATTTTGATCCCTAAAGTGAAGAACCCAACAAATATCAAGGAGTTTAGGCCTATTTCCTGCTGTACAGTGCTATATAAGATAATTTCCAAGATCCTAACAACAAGATTACAGGAAGTCATGCCAGAATTAATAGACAAATGCCAAACTGATTTTGTCCCTGGGAGAATGATAGTTGATAACATCATCATGAGCCATGAGCTGGTTAAAGGCTATGAAAGGAAAAACGTATCACCAAGGTGTATGCTGAAAATCGATATGCATAAAGCTTATGATTATGTGGAGTGGATATATATAGAGCAAATGATGAAGTTACTGGGATTCCCTGAAAAGTTTGTAAGGTGGATAATGAAATGCATCAGTACTGTGCACTATACAATAATCATCAATGGGCAACCAACAAAACCTTTTGAAGCAAGGAGAGGGCTTAGGCAGGGTGACCCATTATCTCCTATACTATTTGTGATGGCAATGGAATACTTGAGCAGACTATTGAAAAACTTAAAGGGGAACAAAGAATTCAAGTACCACCCTAAGTGTGCTAAAGTCAATCTGGTACACTTAGGTTTTACTGATGATTTGTTACTTTTTTGCAGGGGAGATATACAATCAGTCAAGGAAATGCATCAACAATTCAAAACCTTTTCTGAGGCATCAGGACTAACTGCAAACTAACACAAGAGTTGCATATACTTTGGAGGAGTCGATCTTGTGAACCAAGGGACGATTATCGATATACTGGGATACATCAAGGGAGAGTTACCTTTCAGATACTTAGGGGTACCTTTAAGCACAAAAAAGCTATCAATTATCCAATGTGAACCTTTGATTGACAGGATGCTGAACAAAATACAATGTTGGGCAACAAAATTCCTGTCATATGCAGGGAGAGTTGTGCTTATAAAGAGTGATTTGACTGCAATTCAAAATTTCTGGGCTCAGATCTTTATATTGCCAAAGAAGATTATTCAGTTCATTGAAACAATATGTAGAAGGTTTCTATGGTCACGGAACGCAGAGCCTACTAGAAAGGCATTGATAGCTTGGGAGAAACTGTGTTGTCCAAGAGTTGCAGGTGGTTTGAACTTCACTAATGTGGAACTATGGAACAAAGCTGCCATTTTGCAAATTATTATGGAACATATGCAAGCAGAAAGAAAAGTTATGGATGCAATGGGCAAATGCTTACTACATAAAAGGGAATACAATATGTGAAGAAAGAAGTATTTTGAAAATGCTGGCTACACTGAACAAGAGGTGCAGAGGATAGATAGTTTCTCAATCAAACAAATGTATAAAGTCATGCAGGGGTAGTTTCAGAAGGTAAGTTGGAGGAAAGTAATATGCAATAACTATGG